TCTCTGAAGTCTCTTCTATTCTACCGATTCCTTCTTCCTATTTTTCTCCTTGCAATTAAACATTTGTGTCATAGAGTTCTCAGTATGGATTTTGCTAGCTTCCTTCCTTTGCGGTCATTCAACATGCACCTCTGTCCCCTGTATTTCCAGTAAATTAATAGATCTAGAGGCTTAATCAGATTTAAATTTGACTTATTGGTAGGGCCATTTCATGGGGAGTTCGTATACTCCAACAGGAAATGTAATTTCTGGTAGTCTTTCTTTTATGAGCATGTGATGTTAACAACCATCAATAAACTGTCTAAATTTGTTATCAGAGGTTGCAAAATTACAATATTCCAATTTCATGATCCTTCCTAGCTTGAATTCTTCTATAAAGAGAAATTTCCTCTCATTGATTATTACTGATCCCAAGATACAATTTGTATAGGAAAGGCAATATACATCTTGCAGATAGCCCTTCAAGAGACGAAGCTGCCCAGCTCTGAGGAATGTGGTTACCTGCCTCCAGCTGTTCACTTTAGGGTCCATTTCAGCTTTCAAGCCAAAGTCATAACCATCTCAGCTGGCTCCCAGCCAAAGGAAATTAAGTACGTTCCTGGATGACCCTCAGCCAGTGACTAAGCAAGGCAAGGTTAAAAGTCCCATTTGTTTCTATCCAACACAGAATTCCTATAAAGAGCATTCTTTCCTCCAGAGTTCCCCACTGGGCCTAGAGAGACTGTCAGATCTACACCACAGTCTGAGATAGCTCCCCTTGTCTAATCCTGCTTCCTCCCTTTTCCTCTCATTGATGTTTCTAATAAACCACTTGTATGCTTCATTCCATTTTGCTATCTGCTTTGCAGGGAACTCAGGTATGAAAAGGGTCTAAATCACCTTGACTACTGATTTCTATTCTCCAAATGTCAGTGAGAAAGATAATTTTAGCTTAAGAATATTTCCTTAAATGGGGCACCTGGGTGGCTCAGTCAGTTAAGCGGCTGCCTTCAGCTCAGGTCATGATCCCAGGGTCCTGGGATCGAGCCCTGCATCGGGCTCTCTGTTCAGTGGGGAGTCCGCTTCTCCCTCTCACTCTGCCTACTGCTTCCCCTGCTTGTGCTCTCTGTCAAATAAATAAAATCTTTAAAAAAAAAAAAATATTTCCTTAAAGATATAACATAATGTTTGTTGTTAGTGAATTATCCAACTGGATGAGTTTGTTTAGTGTCTTGTAAATGTACAGCTGGACCAGCTATTCTAGGGGCACATTCTGTTCTCTAGTCTGGCATTTCATGGGTCACCTAATTCTTTTCCAGTCATGATCACCATCCTACATAACCTTGTCTGTTTCCTGGAGGAGCAAGGAATGGTCAAATAAGCAACAAAGAAAACTATTCTTAAAATGTGTTATGAACTCAGTTTAGTTTAATATGTCAAATGCTAGAGTATTACATGCAATTTTAGCACAGTCCATTTTTTGGAAATCTCTTGCTGAGGCTTAGCCTTCTCTAGTGATCTCCCAATCAATATGACCCTCACTTCATGTTCAAAAAACACTAAAGAAGAAAAGAAAAGGCAGCCGTCTGTTAGGTTATACAGGATTTATTTGGTATCTTCAAAAACCAATCTGTGAAAATTTTCCACTCACTGATTTTAGCTGAGCCGCCAAGAAAACAAGAAAATCCTTCTGCAAAATTCTCAATAAAATGATATTATCTAAAGACCTGAAGCGTGAAACCTGGATTACAACAGCTGACCAAAAAACCAGAATGTAAGGCCCACAAAAATTAAATAAAAACACAAAAAGTATAATATATATTTCTGTAATTTGACCATACACAAATAATGTACATTAGCAATGGTAAAGATAATTCTAAGTTATCTAAACTACTAAATTAAGAATGAAAATGCCATGCTCTTAATTTAAGTAAGTATTTATATAATTTGTAGATTTCTTATATCTTCCTTAGCAGTAGTGACTCCTTCAGGGTTTTTCAGGGCAGAATTAAATTTTTTAAAACAAACACACATTGACACTTCTACAGGTCTTTCACTGACAGGAAAACCTTGTATCTAACTAGATGTAAATTTTGACACAGTAACGACTTGAGCACAAAGAATTAAATGTGACTCATGTAGTAAAATCTTCACTTTATTGAAAAAGCCAAAATGTAGGTTTTTCATCTATTTCTAGGCATTCAGATTCCCTGTGATCGGTAACAAACATGGCCACAAATTATCCTCCCTTCCTATGTCCACCAGCATTAGCAACAGGACTTAGTCGCTTCTCCCCTCCAGAGGTAGAGTTTATTTATCCAGGTACTGAATCTGTGCAAGCTCCTGACTCACTCTGGCTAATGAAACAGCAGCAAACATGATACAGAGTCTTGGGAAGAGTTTTACATCAGGGTTCGCCCTTTCGCTCATATCAGAACTCCATGATCACTATGTGCACAAGCACTTGAGCAACCCAGTCATCCCAGCTGAGACCAATATGAACCAACATCCCCAGCCAATTTACCTGTTGACCAGACATGCATTAAGTAAACCTAAACAAGATCAGCTGATCCGGGCACAGATGGAAAAAAAAAGTACCCCACCCAGCTGAGCCCTCCCTCAGTAGCTACCTGCAGTTAGTGAGTTAAGTAAATAGCAGGTTGTTTGAAAGTGGTATTTGGGGTGGTATTTGAGAAAGCAATAGAGAACTGATACACCTGTCTATAATTTTTTACTGTTTACAGAACATTTACTACTTCATTAAACAACTGATTTATACAGGAGCATCACTGTGGGGAACACGTAATCAAATATCAGCATTTGCACAATGATCATTATTCTACGAGATGGGCTTTTCTGCAGATTCTTCTTCTATGTAATAAGAGCCAACAGGACATTTCACAGGACGGATAACAATGAAAATGGAATCTTAACAGTTATTCTATATAAAAATTTAAAGATTGCATCCTGAAAGTACATTGTATATTTTTTATTTAACTTTCTCAGACAACATGATCTGAGGATTCCTTAAGACCCACCTAGCAACTTAATATGGTAAAATAACAAGAAACTCTAGCTGTCCAAATATCCTATATTTCCAGAAATGTTTAGTTTCAAAGATCTGACTGACTGGCTGGCTAAATAAACAATGTCTCAGAACATATCAACAATGAATACTACCAAAAAGTCTGAAGATTATTATACTATTGTTTACATGTTATTATTTGGCTGGCTCATATCACAACAAAACAATGTTGACAGGCTAGTAATATATATAAGAAACGAATCTTCTCAAGCAAAAGCTGAGGAACATATTGTAAAATAATTTGGCTGGATTGTGTCCCTGGTTTCTAGAATGGAGCTGGGCTCCCCAGACCTCACCTCAGTTTATGCAAATGAGATGATTCAGGGTGGGCCCTCTAGACAATTTAAGGATAGGGTCTAGCCACGTAGGAAATATGAACCACGTAATTAGAGGGCTGTGCTTTGAGCCACAGATATTAGCCTGACTTCTCAACCTGGCATTGGAGTGTGGGGACAGGGCAGGGAAAGAAGGGCTGGAAACTGAGTTCAATCAGGTGGCAAATGACTCAATCATTCCTAGTAATGAACCCCAATAAAAACTATGGATACCCAGAGCTTGAGCGAGCTTCCTTGATGGTAATACACACTGATGTGCTGAAAGGGTGACACAGAAGCTTTGCATTCGAGGCCTTCCTAGACCTGGTCCTAAGCATCTCTGCACTTGGCTAGTCCTGACTGTATCCTTTATAAAACTGTAATCCTAAGAATACTGCTTTCCTAAGTTCTGTCAGTGCTTCTAGTAAGTATCAAACCTGAGGGCCAGCTGGTCAGAAGTGGGGGTGGCCTGGCACCCCTGGAGACTGCAGCTGGTGACTGAGGTGAGGGAAGTGCTGTGCAGGACTATGCCCCTAACCTGTAAAATCTGACCTAACTCCAGGTGCTGTCACACTCGCACTGCACATGGGAAAAGCAATACCAAAGACATAAAAAAAAAAGCAGAGAAGAAACAAGGTTAACAGACATTAGAAGTGATGGTCAGAATTAGGAATAATCACAAGAGCAGTCACCCATGGAGTCAAAAGTGGAAAAAAAAAAAAAAGATAGTATCAAAGGTAAAAGAGAAAATTAGAGATGAGAGTGGGAAAATTGATAGGGAAAACAGACGGGGTTAGGGAGTTAGGATGGCATGCAACACGCACACTTAACAGTCTGGGGAGTCACTCATTCAAGAACTATCTATTAATTACCTGCTACATGTAAGGCCCTGTGCCAGGTACTAAGGATACTGTGGTGAATAAGAAAAACATGCCTCCCCCATGAAGTTTAGCTTCTAAAGAAGATAAATATTAAGCAGTTACAAAATTAACTCTAATTGTTTTTATGCTACATGCTACTAAGCATTTAGTTGAATAAGGGCTTAATAAACAGATATAAAGATCAGTAATGAGCTAAATCTACAGTCCTAAGACCTACATACCTCATCTCTATTTGCAATTAAACACAACACTGAACATGTTGACAAGAAAGTAAATAATGCACATTTTAAAAGGATTTCCTCAGTAACAAAACATTCAGATTACTTACCTTACCTTCCACTAAAAATAGCACATTCCTAGTAGGTACTTCATAGTTAAACATTCCCTATATTTGTTTCTCAAATTTAGGTTCACCTTAACATAACTCCCACTCAAATTTTAAAGTCATTCCCTTCCTCAAAACTAACAAAAAAAACATTTCTAAGCACTAACAACAAAAAACAAAACAACCTCAAACAAGAATCACCATCAAGTCACCAGATATGACACCCTGACTTCTGGGCAAAAAATGACTTTGGCACATATTTGATCAAGATGCAGATGTTGATTTCTAATAAATGTTAGTAATGATCAGATTTGAAATTTTTACAAAAGATATTAATTATGAAGTTGTTTTTAAATATATGATACCCTAAAAATTCTTTCCAAACAGTAGGCAATTGGACAACTAGAGCTTCTTACCTGTATTCATCTAACTGCACCAGAAATCGTACAATATCATGATGAGCTTTCAGTACAAGCAGTTCAGTGTAGGGATTCTGGGTTTGTTCTTCACCTATTGTCTGTAAAGGAGATTTCTTGCATTGGGGAAGAAAAGAAAAGAAAAACAAAAGAGAAAGAGATTAAATGATTTATGATAAAAGACCATACTGAAATAAAACTGTATGGTATACGTCTAAGAATACAAGATTTAAAGAGCTGTGAGATACCATGTTCTAATACTATATACTATTTCCCCTAATATCAATTAACTACCAATTTAACATACATTTTTCTTACTACAAATCCACATCATGTTAGAACTGATCTAAATATCCTTAAACTCAGATCACCATTCTTCAGATTGTTAACTAAAAACAATGTAAGTAAAGAGGGGGAAATCTCACCTTGCCATAAATTTTAGTATTTTCAAGTCACCATAAATTTGCAGAAAGGTGAATTTTATGTTAAGAAATTATACCTCAATAAACCTGACCTAAAAAATCAATGGGCCAATCCAATTCAGTATTTAGAATGAGTGTTTCTCAATTAAAACTTGACAAACAAAACTGCAGGTCAAAAGGGTAAATACAGATTAAAATAGTGCCCAAACCATTATAGGCACTCAATACATGATTCCTGACTGAATAAAAGAAGGAATGAAATCTTTCAGAGCTGATAAATTCAATAAATTCAAGTTTGGACAACAATATTGATAAAGATAATTGCTAACATTTACAGAGAATTAGGTCACAGCCCATTTGCCAGACACTGTGCAAAGCACATATGGCATATAATTCACTCAACTATTCCGTAAGGTAGCTCTTACTAACCCCTTTCTATAGTCAAACCCGGTACTATTTCATGATAAATTTCTCAAACTTGCCATTATTGAGATTTTGGACCAGGTAATTCTTTGCTGTTGAGGACTATCCTATGTAGGATATTCAACAGTATCCCTAGTTTCCACATACTAGATGCAATAGAAATCTAATCTCCCCCATCCTGAAAATCAAAAATGTTTCCAGACATAGCCAAATATGTCCTAAGGGCAAAATCATCCCAGCAGAGAAATACTGCTAAAACTAGAAGCAGTTCTTGCATAAATTAAGGAAAATCATTGGTTCTGACAAAGTACAATTCACAATGGGTATACAAGTGAAGTACTTTAACATGAAAAATGTGTAACCTAACATGCATAAATGTTTTCTCCAAAAAATCACCCCCAAAGGAGGGGGTGCTTTTTATTTATACCATCTCATTTCTAGCGGTGGTTCTGAAAAGAAAAGCAAAAGTGAGAAATTTGAAAACTGTATACCACCTCCCTCAAATGAAAGTTTACCAGGCATGGGAGAATTAGATAATGAAATTATATGATTAATCAAATAATTGGGTTAATACAGAATTATCATGTCACATATATAATTATCTACAACTATTCCCTAACGTTTAAGATCTCAGCCTATCTGAAATGAACCTGATTTGAAATTTTTTTTTTTAAAGATTTTTATTTATTCATGAGAGATAGAGAGAGAGAGGCAGAGGCAGAGGGAGAAGCAGGCTCCCCGCGGAGCAGGGAGCCCGATGCGGGACTCGATCCC